CCCTACAGAGGATTGCGCCTCAGTCTCATCTGTTTCCCCAGCCAGAGACCAGTCTGAATAAGGCCCACCTAGCACAAAAATTCCTATATAATGTGATTTGCTTGTTGCTGAATTAACTTTTAAGATTATCTGTGTCTTCTAGACATGGTGGCATGTCAGTTTGCTTCAAATTAGCAGTGTTTGTATAGGATTAACGTTGTGTGCATTTACACTCAAAGGATTTATTTTCATTAAGTCGTTGAGCTCCTATTTCCTTCAAAATTCATTTATCCAGAACTCTATTAAATTTAGCACATCTAAAGTGACTTGTTTTGCTTTGACTAGACCTCAAAACCCCATGTCATTGTATGATATTGTGTATTCTAAAAACCATATTGGGCAGTCCCAGGTGCTACCAGTCCAACCCCCTGAAACGGCAAGCTCCTGCCAGCCTTCGTGGCATTTGAGTCAGGTTGCACATACATAAAGCAAACGAGCATGGTGCATGTCTGCCTGCAAACTATGGGACAGTGCACCTGGGCTCTACCCTCTATGTCCTTCCCCAGGGCTCCCACAAGGACCAAAGGGATGGCTGCACCTTGCTGGTGTCCACAGGAGGGAGCATGCTTTGGGGAACAGCTGGGAAGAAGCAGGGAGGTGTATGATGATGGAAAAGGTATGATTCTCACCCTATTTTTTTTCCTCCCCTTTCCTTTTCCTGACCTTGGCCGCAGTTTAGCTGAAAGTGTTGGGTGCACTGCGAAGCCTTGCCTCAAGACCTCTCACACACACAAAAGGCGCTCACCCCATTAGTCTGAACGCAGTCCTAACCTTTTGAAGGCGTTGATGGATTTATCCATCAAGTGTTCTATAAGGCGTTTTTGTGTCAGCATTCGAGATCAGAAAGGTTTTCTTTTTCATAGGAGAAAGATCTAGGCCGCCTTTGTTCCGATGGTGATCTTTGATAGAACAAGTAATTCTACTTGTTTTGTTAAAACCTAAATAGCAGTACATTAACAAGTGTCTGGTACAAAGAACTGATAAATGTAATCAAATAGGTTTTAAGCTAAAGCTTGTAGTTCAGTCTTTTTTCTTTTTCTTTTTTTTTTTTTTTAGAAAAAAAAACACCATAGGAAATACTATACTTATTGTGCTTTCTTATTATTCAGGAATCCATTGGCAGCAGCAAAGTAGTCCTTATGGAAACCGTTCTTGACTTCCGTTGCGACGGGGGTTTCCTTTATAGCTGTTCTTGAAGGTGCTTTCCGGTATGTCTATAAAAGCAAACCCCAAAGTAAATACTTGGATTTATTTAGTGCCCCCCAAGCACTACTTATGGTTAACTGCAAAATGGAGCTGTCTGGTGTTTGTTGATCAGATGTATGTATTTGCTTCAGACAGTGTTAAGGGAACTGTATTATTTTCACTGCCGTAGGTGATATCACCTTACTAGTATTACTGTAATACTTCTTGATGTCAAAAGAGATTTTTAAGCCCTTTTCACTAGAAGCTCTAGTGCAAAAAAAACTAGAAGTATGCAGGCAGGCTGGAGCAGTCCCTGCTAAAAAAGGTTGAAATAAATAATGCAAAGACAGAGCTGCTTGTTTCTTTTTTCCAAGGAGGGAGGAAGAGTCTAAGTTGCCCAACAGAGCAAATTCAGACCACCTAAGTCCTGAATGTGGTACCTGACCTGCTATACAAGTGCAGAAGAGCTGAGCTGCAATGGAAAGGTCATAATTACTGAATAACTGTCTCTTGAAGATGTTACTATATCTATCATTCTTAGTTGATATATATTTTAATACACATGTATTTCAAATGCTGATGCTCGTTCTTCATGTGAGTTCATCAAGACTGCTATCCAAAAAGTTCTTTTTTTCACCACAGTTCTCAGAGAGCTCTTGGAAGACTCCTTACCTTAATGTAGAAGTTTATGAAGAGAACAACCAGTGTGGCCATGTAGGAGGACTGGAACATGAGGCAGCCAAATGGGAATCCACACGGCTTCACGGCTGCGCTGAGTGTGTGCACAATAGTGAGCAGAAACTGGATCTGTGGAGGAAAGACCATGCGTGAGTGTTTGCTGGGAAAGTGCTGGTGCTAGCTAAATCAGATACAACAAGGTCACCCAGTCCTGCTCTTTGAAAGTTTGAGTACTCTTGAAAACTATCCCTTTCTGCACCTGCGAATGTATTGTGAGGGTTAAGTTAAAATGGCACTCTTATGCAATATAAAAAAAAGGGGGGGGTCAGAGATTTCTAAAAATGAGTTTATAAGCCTCGTTGGCAAAATGAAAACACTTTTTCTTAATAGGGGTTCTATTTTCCAGACAGTGTCGTGCCAGGTACAGCATTGTCTCTGTTACTGGGCAGAAATTCAAGAAAACTCTGAAGGCTTCTAGGCAATAGCTTTAGAAATCTGAACAGAAATTGGAAATCCCAGGTCTGAGGAGAAGTTCAGGTAGGCTGACGTTTGCATTAAGAGTTAAGATGGGGACAAGTGAAGCACAAATGACATGGAGAGGGAATTGCAGAAGGCTGGCTGTTTTTAGGACTGTGAACCACAGCCCACGCTGGTGCATCTGATTCTCCCCAGCCAGCTGAGCGTGCCGTCAGTCCAGCATACTGAGGTGCGTTTTTAAGCTCACTGCAAACATCTGAACTCCCAAATAATATGAACAGGCCCTAAGACAAAAAAGTGAAAGGGACTTCATTTCACATCAAGCCTTGTATCTTGTTGACAGAAGCTTTTTAGGTGGCTCAGCTCTTTGGTACAGCAACTCCTGGAGTAGACTTCTAGAGGTCAGACTACTTCTGTCTTGTTTAAGAGTTCATTTACATAATTTTGCATTTTGTAGTTGTACCATGGTGTGGTGGGTTAACCTTGGTTGGCTGCCAGGTGCCCACCCAGCTGCTTTCTCACTTCCTCTCCTTGGTAGAATAGGGGGAGAAAATAAGATTCAAAAACTCATGGGTTGAGATAAGGGCAGGGAGGGTAATTGGTAAAACTTGCCAATTACCGTTACAGGCAAAACAGACTTGACTTTAGTAAGATTAATTTAATTTATTGCCAATTAATAATGGAGAAGGATAGTGAGAAATAAAACAAAACTAAACCTACCTTCCCCTAAGTCCCTGTTTCTTCTTAGGCTCAATTTCACTGCTGATTCTTCTACTTCCTTCCCCCAAGTGGTGCAGGGGGATGGGGAATGGGGGTTGCAGTCAGTCCATATTGCTTTGGCTCTGCCGCTCCTGCCTCCTCATGCTCTTCCCCTGCTCCAGCATGGGGTCCCTCCCACAGAAGACAGTCCTGCATGAAATTCTCCAACGTGGGTCCTTGCTATGGGCTGCAGTTCTTGAAGAACTACGCCAGTGTGGGTTTTTTTTCATGGGCTGCAGTCCTTCAGGAATGGACTGCTCCAGCCCGGGTCCCCTCCAAGCCACAGGTCCTGCCAGAAAAACCTGCTCCTACTTGGGCTCTTCACAGGCTGCAGCTCCTGCCAGGAGCCCCTTTCTGCATGGGGTCCTCCATAGGCTTGTAGCTTCCTTCAGGGCATGTCCACCTGCTCCAGTGTGAGGTCCTCCCTGAGCTGCCCGTGGAGATCTGCTCCACTGTTGGACCTCCATGGGCTGCAGGGGGACAGCCTTCCCCACTGTGGGCTGCACCAGGGGCTGCAGGGGAATCTCTGCCCCTCCTCCCCTCCTTCTGCTCTGACCTGCAGTCTGCAGGGCTGTTTCACATTTTCTCACTCCTCTCCCTCTCAGCTGCTGTGCAGCATTTTTTACCCTTTATTAAATACGGTATCACAGAGGTGCCCCCAAGCTTTGCTGATGGGCTCAGCTTTGGCCAGCAGTGGGTCCGTCTTGGAGCTGGCTGGAGCTGGCTCTGTCAGATAGTTTTTATAAATTTTTAACCAGTCCTTTTGCCATGGTTAAGCAATGTCCATTTCTATGCAAGATATCAAAAATAATGGAATTTTATGGACTGTAGAGTTTCTACTATATTGTAGGAAATATTTCTGAGCATCATTTGATGATCTTAAAGGTCTTTTCCAACCTAGACAATTCTATGATTCTATGATCATTTCCTTTATTAAGCTGTACAAGCTGTCCTAGTAACTTAATCTGTATGATAGCTTTGTTGTATTTGAATTCTAGCTGGCTTAATTCTGCAAGTTACAATATTTATCTATCATTCAGCTCTGGTATTTTGAAGGATTTCTGGTTGTTAAAAGTGAGATTAAGAGAGATATATACCAGTTGTGCTTGAGTGAGGTATTTCTTCCACCACAGATACTTGCGCATAGAAGGGATGACTGACAGTCCATAATACGAATACATGAGCACGTGGATAAAGCTGTTCAAAGTGGGTCCAAAGAAACCTGTAAAAATCCAACAAGGGGAACGTTTTATAGACCAACTGCTAAAAAGTGAGAGAAGATATTCTGGCTAACAATGTCTCTGGCATACGGTAAGTCTTGCCTCGGTGCTTATCCTTTACTAAAGACATTCCTGACGCAAAGAGGTGCTGTCCTAGGGACAAACTGACAAACTGGATGGTGCTTCCTTTAGGGTTTTTCTCATGCTGAACGTTGTAATTTCATCCTGTATTTTTCATTTTCTCCAATTTTCTATTCTGTAGTTTACAGATTATTGCTTTTGCTCCCCTCCCAAGCGTTACTTGCAGGAGTCTTTCTGTTATCGCTGTAAGCTTTCGGCGCCGCTATGGGCGACTGCCGCTGGTAGCGCAGCTCAGCGCCCCGGGAGGCACCCGTGCCCCTGCTCCCTGATGCAGCAGTAAGGGCTTTACTCTGAATTAAACCAGCCTCCTGTGGCTGTGTTCTTCAGCGGCTCTTCTGCGAGATGCAGGTTTCCAGAACTTCACCCCAGATAATACCTTGCCACTCTAATTAGCCACGCTTAGTAAATACTAATTCTAGAGCAAAATGCATTGCCCTCTGTACCTTACAGACTATTGAGAAGTAGCAGCGCTACTGCCTGCTGTATGCTCATCTCTATGATGGCAGCGCTTGACAACTAGAAGATGGTCTCACCAATTGTTTTGATTTTTTTTCCTGCCGATTAATTACTTAATAATTACTAATTAATTACTTAGCTACTGATTTTTCCACTCTGTTAACTATAATAGCACAAAACTAGTGCAAAGTGTGGGCAATATGTTCAGACACAATAGAAAGCACAACCCCCCACTAGTTTGTTTATGTCTCTGTAGAAATAGCTCTTAATTGCTGTGAAGTCCTTCGTCTCTGCTTCTACCTACAACAGCGATTTACTTTGATTTTCTACTGTCCACACTGAGTGCCAACAAATGTGAATTCTGCTTTTTGTTCTGAAAAACACCTGCAGTGAGCTGCTTTACAAAATATTACAGTGCACTGGGGTTGATTCCCTTTAACTGCTCAAAGTAAGAAAACTGATTGCCTTCTCAACTCTGATAACTGTGCCACAGGAAGCCTCCAGCTGTATGAAGCCCTGGAAAGGTGTGTATCTTGTGAAACACCTGAAGTAGTTCTCTGCTGTTTGGACTTAGTATGCAAATGCCAAGTGACCAGCCTGCAGCACTGTACATCTTCCCCACCTCCACAGGGGAGATGATGACAATTGCAATATCCTCCTAAGAGCCAAGTCATTTAGAGATTACTGTTGTGAAATATGTTGAACTCAAAATATAAGGCATATATATAAGGCAAAGGATGCTGCTACTTCTGCTATTTCAGTAGGAAGTGTAAGACTGTATTGATCAGTTCTGGCTGTCCAGTAGTTCTACTGCTTGATGAGATGGGTTCTCATTTAAGACAACACAAACTCAAACTGGTATTTTAATTAGCGATTATGTAAGTAAAGTATCTTGCTAAAGCAGAATGTCAGATTGATGCATACAGGTGTCAAACTTGCAAAAATGCTATTGAGTTCATTAGTCATGATTGACACTGACTTTCCTAGGGTCCTGATTTCCTCCTATGTCTGCTTCTGGAGTAGGTCTTTTATGTGATCGCTCCTGTATGCTACTCAGCAGTGTTATCCTGCCTAACAGTGGTTTGAAGGGAAGTAAATATGAGGGGTTGTGGCAGTGAAGTGGAAAATCCAGGACCTAACACTCATATATATATATATTTTTTTTTTTTTTTTGCCCCGATCTTTTAACCATGCTTTTAATTTCACTGCAATCTGCAGGTGTTCAGCAGCTCTGAAAGGCTATGAATGCTAACGATGCTGTCAGCGACACACTTGCTTTGCGTGGTGATGCGATTCTCCTCTAGCACCAGGAGACTTACAGCCCAGGTGATGAAGCGAACACAGACTTACTTTGCCCGCAAGGTATCCAGTTCAGAACGCACCACCAAATGTTAAACATAGTGGCGTGGTGATACACGTGAAGGAAGGTGATCTGGCTGCTTTTCTTTCTCAGTACAAAGAAGATAGTGTCCATGAATTCAATTACTTTGGAAAAATAATACCACCACAGCACCTTGGCTATCTGTACAAGCAAGAACAAAAGAGCAGGAGATCAATATCTGCCTATAAAACGGCTTAAATATTGCTGTACTTGTCAGTCCCTAGGCATGCAGCTTGCCAAAAGGCATTAATGTCCTACTGAGGGACGAGCACAAGCTCTGACTTGAATTATATTTCCCTTTTGAATGAAGCAGTTTAGAAAAAAATGTATGATTTTTAATGTGATTGTGTAAATATATAATTATTTAAATATAATTTAAGAAATAAAAACTTTGTCAAAGGGTTTTCTAATTGTTCTGTTTTTTTCATCAAAGATACAGTTTTGTGGGGTTGTGTGGTGTGGGTTTTTTTTTTTTTCTTAAAGGTGCTGCCATTTATACTTTCTTGGCAGTGAACAGATTTTGCCAGCAGCTTCTTTTTAAATAATCCAAATCTGACACTCAACACAATGGAATATACTCTCCTCTAGAGATGAGACACTTTATCAGAGCTAAGGGTATGTCCCAGGAGTGTTAAAGAACGTCAGTTAAAACAGAAAGGGGGAAAACACCTTGTTGATGGGGAAAGGTATTTAACTTGCCTTTTCCTTTCCATAACACAGACAAATTTTGAGGGTTGGGGAAAATTATGTAAGTTAACCAGTCTTTCTGCCTTTGAGTTCTAACGTTATCTGGAAAGTAAGTCTCACGTGGGGAATGACAGAGGGTTCGTACATGGAATTGCTGTGATGCAAAAATAAGGGTTGAAACTAGAGATAAGCCAAGCCAGCAAAATGTCTCTGCAGTTTTCCAGAGTTTAGGGTTGGGCTTAAATCCATTTGCAGCCACAGCCCAACAAGTGCTACAATTTAGATGATTGATTTTTTTTTTTTTTTTGTTCCATGTTTTTAAATGATTCGTATTCTCTGTTTTAATAGTCAGGCAACACTGTTCTGATCACGGATCTTGATATATGGCTTTTCAAAATACTCCTTGTCATGCTTTCTACAGCAAGGATGCATCTGTATTGAATCAGAAGGATAACATTTCTTGTTTGCTACCAGCTTTTAGGCAACTTGATTGAACCCTCATGTTAAAGATGTCCTCAATATCATCCTTATAACTGCCGTGAACACCGAAGTGTTGCACCGAGAGCGCGGAGGGAAGGACTACCATGGATGCTGGGGGCTGGGCCCCTGCTGTCTCTCACCCGGATGTCGGCCTCCCCTGCGCTGTGGAGGTTCTGGCACTGCAAGTTGTAGCCTCCTTCCCATGTGGCAAGGATGAGCTGGAACAAGAAAATGCAGCAATTACGCTCACGAACAGACGTAGCGGTTCGCTTTTACCTCTGCAATCATCCTGTGTTTATTGAAAAAAGCAGCATGGAAGCACGGTAGGTTCCTACTCCTTCCATGAACTGGTGCTCCTAAACCAGCCAACTTGCTAATATCTTCTGCTCTGAAATGGAAAAGGCATCAGGTTGTGTTCGGGATGTACCCTGAAATGGCATTCCTCTTGCATTTCTCTAGCTTTAGAGCCTTCAAGGCACCCATTAAAATCTCTCATTACTTAGTGCAGCGATCCCCACTCCAAAGCTCATGCTTGAATATTGTATCTCTGTCCTGAAGCAGTGTGAACAGAGCTTAACATGGCTACTTGTGCAAAACCGTCCTGGAGAAAAATTCCCCAATGCCAAGCAAGCAAGCAAACAGAAGGCAAATCCAAAGTAGTGCAATGGGAAAAATATTTCCTAACGCCATACACATGCGTTTTTACTTCCTCCTGCGTTTAATAGTGTAGGATAAGAGGAGAGCAGGCATAGTGCTGGAGACGTGAGTAGACACACAACCAATTTCTTAGATTTAGTGCGTGTTGTACTGGGAAGCAGGCAAAGCAATGGAATGTCGGGCTACCACTCTGTGATGGAGCAGAAGGTTTCTAGCAAGCCATATGGTGGCTTTTGATGTGGAATATTTTTATGGTAATGACCACCTGAAGCATTCAGCAGCCCTTTTGGAAAGGGGAGCGTCATCTGTTGTCTATAAATGCTATGTAGAGTCCGTTGATTTTAAAAAGGTCTTGGTTATTCTTGAATGTGTGAAAAGTGGGGTTTGGGGCCACGCTGAGCAATTCATGTTCTGGGGTCTGTCTCCTTCTCTACAGGGGATGCAGTGGGAGAAATACATTGAAGTGTTGTGCCGTAAGCAGAATTGCAAGATGCTGTGAGAAGTGGGCTGCTTTCAACTCTGGCACTACATTCACAGAGAAGGTGTGCATCAGCATCGGTACAGGCTTTCCCCCCCACTTCAGACTGAAAAGTAGTCTCTTGTGTTGAATGTGTGACAGTCTATACCAAAGTGAAGCAGAGAGATTCTCAGTGATCAAACTGAATTAATTCCTAGAGTAAATACATAAAGAATAAAAGATCTTTGCTAATATTATCTGAAGAATTAGCAAATAGCCCAGAACGCTTATTATAAACTCACATTATAAAGCAATAAAACCTGGAGAGCCAGGGTCTTCTATTATTTTTTGTCTGAATTGCAGTTCTGTGATTGTCCCTGTAATTAGAATCATAGAATCATAGAATGTTTAGGGTTGGAAGGGACCACTAGTGGTCATCTAGTCCAACCCCCCTGCAGTGAGCAGGGACACTGCTAACTAGATCAGATTGCTCAGAGCCCCATCCAACCTGGCCTTGAATGTTTCCAGGGATGGGGCCTCCACTACCTCTCTGGGCAACCTGTTCCAGTGTTTTACCACTCTCATTGTAAAAAATTTCTTCCTTACCTCTAGCCTGAACCTACCCTGTTCTAGTTTAAAACCATTTCCCCTTGTCCTAACACAGCTGGCCCTATGAAAAAGACGTTCCCCATCTTTCCTATAGGCCCCCTTTAGGTTCCAACATATTCCAACATATTCCAACATAGCTGGTGTATGTGGCCAAAATAACACACAGAGATTGCAGAGAAATATGAAAAGACAGTAAATGAGTGTTTTGCAGATAACTGCTATATAACAACCGAAACAAAACCACTTCTTTTTGGAACAGCCTGTGTTTCTGTGGACTCGCCTACAGCGTGTGCCAGAGGTCACCACACCAAACAGGATGGGACCAGAGTCTAAAACCAGGGGAAACGACAAAAACCCAGCTAGAGATCCTCACACAAATGCTCAACGTGGCTGAGACCGCAACTTGTTTTGCCAAGCTGGCCTCTGCTTGCGTGCTGTGCCTGCAGGCCCGCGGGGCTGGGACATGCGGGCTCCTCTCCTTTCCCTGCTGTGGCCAGCGGGTGGGAAGGAGAGGCATGGGTCGCACCTCCCCAACCACCTTAACATGCAGAGGTGCTGAGGAGAAGAACTCCTTGAGAAAAGCAAATTTTGCCACTTGACTTCCCTATTATCTTTCAAAAAGCAGCTGAGTGGAAAAGGGGTCACATCCGTTCTCTGAGTAGGAGTCGGAGGGCAGGCAGGTCCCCACCTGTTCCTCCTGCAGCATGTCCTTGGTCCCCAGATCTGTGCCAAAGCTGTAGCTGGCAATAGGTAGCAGCTTCCTGAGGGATGGGGAGAGTTTGCTGCATGGTTGCTTTTTCTGGGTAGCTCACCTGCGTGCTTTTGTGCACCCTCCTGCCTTGGATTCTCTCTCCAAAGGAGAGGCGACTGAGTCATCCCCAAACCGAGACTTTTAGAGCAGGTAGGTACAGCACCATTGACATGCTGTTGTTGAAGATTTGCTCACAGCAATGTCTTGTTACTTGAGAAATGCTGAAGAAAATGGAATTGTCATCTTGTTCTTGGTTGGGACCAGTATGGTCAAACAGTGGTGGAGTACCAGGGGCTCCTCTGGAGGCTGCATCCTGGACAGCAGCAGGCTGCAGTGGTGACACCTGGGAGCTTTGGTAAGGCACGGCCGCGAGCACAAGCTTTAACAGCTCTGCCAGAAACCTCTGCTGCTAGTGCTGCTAATAGGAGCAGGAAGTAAGTGATATTGCCTCTTGCTATTTTATTTTTCTCAGTCAATTATAATGAAACCCTCATTGGCTTTGTAGGTGGGAAGTGGTGACGGCGCGACCATCTCTAGCACTTGTGACTGCAGGAGGTTGAAATCATGACCCACAAAACCTCAAAGCCCTGAAAACAAACAAAGGAGAAGAGGCAACTGCGTTTCTGTTCTTATCCAAGGCAATGTCATGGACCAGGGAGGACCCTTTCTCCTGATTTTACTGAGGAACTATAAATTGCCATTGCAAATACACTCTATTGCTTTGTTAAGGTAAGAGATAAAGTTTGTGTTTTGTTGTACTCACGCTTTACCTGATGTTTTGTAACTTAGCTCTGTGATACCATGTGCCTATAATGTTTTTTAATCTAAAGCTTTTAAAAAATTTTACCTTATGAGATATGCAATTTTTAACACTTTTTTCCCAAGATTAATTAAAACAGTTTTACCTGATTGATTCTATTGCATTCTATATCTGTACATTGATACCTTTCCTATGCTTGAATCAGTCAAATTTGTTCATTTCTCTTTTAATGTATCTTTGGGAATCTGCTTTTTTCAGGTTCCAATTGCAAAACCACTTTACTCTTTCAATTACTTTTTCTCTTCCTTTAACAACTAACTTATTTTTTTGCTTTGCTGAAGATACCTAACCTCATCACATTTTCTGCTACAGTAGCCTGGAAGAGGCTTCCTGGAGAGGTGGTCGATGCCCCAAGCCTGACAGCGTTTAAGAGGCATTTGGAAAATGCCCTTAACAACGTGCCTTAACTTTTGGTCAGCCCTGAATTGGTCAGGCAGTTGGACTGGATGATCGGTGTAGGTCCCTTCCAACTGAAATAGTCTATCTGGTATATTGTCTGGCACAGTTCAGAAGGGGAAGCCAAAAACTAGTAATGGAATTAATATTCAAATAATGGAAATTCTGCTTAACAGTTCAGAACCGGGAGGGTGAGCACTAGTGTACCTTCTTGTGGAAAAAAAGGGAGCAAGAAGCCTCTTGACATCATGTGTATGATGTTTTACTGGGTTTTCTCTGGGATTCCAGCCCTCAAGCCAATTAAAACAACTTGATCTGACCACTGCTCTCAAGCAATGGTGGTCTTGCTAAACCTTGCTAGTAAGGAGACTAATCTGCCTATGCAGTGGGAAAAAAGAGCCTAACTTGCAGTGCTGTCAATCACCTATTTCCCTTGGCCATAGGAGGAGATTTTTGTTAGTCCTTGTGAATGCTAGCTCCTTCCTGGATCTATAGACTTGGACAAAACCGTCCTAAATAAAAGCAGTTATCTGCTGGCCACATCCCAAGGAAAAGGACTCTAAACAAATGCTCAGGACAGTGTCTCAGGAAGGAGAGAGGAATGACTTTGTTTTCTTTGCAATTTTTATTTTAAGTGAATTTTAGAATGAAATGCCTCAGAAGATTATCAGTGTCTAAAAACAGGGGGCAGATATTCATCATCTCACTTGACTTCCCTTTTTTAGTTTTTAAAGGGAGAAATCAGCTCTTTGACTGTAACATGGCTCAGTTCCACAAGCCCGTGACATCTGAATTGTCTTCCTATCCCCAAGAGGCTGGGGTGAAGGTATGGCGCAATGCTCCATAATAAGTAGATGAATAGAGGAAGGTACTGCTAATCATCCCTGATTTATCATTAAATCAGTCCTAAACAATACCTAGGAAGCTTTCAGGAAGGTTTTTCTGGCTAGGATGTTCAATTGTAAAATCATCTGTGAACAGTATTTGCTGAAGAATCTCTCTCTATCTAGGCTGCCGATTTTGAGATGAGCCTCCAAGAATCATGGTATAACCCCAAATTTTAGATGGATAGTTGAGATGCAGAACAGCCTGCATTTCCAGATGGCTGCTCTTGTGTCTTGAAAATCTCAAATGAGCTATAGTCCAGCCAGACCATAAACCCCACAGGGAAGCAGCGTGGGCTCGATTGTTCAGCCCAGGGCTGGGGGATTCCAGGAGCCCCGGTCCCAGCCCTGCCACCTGGTCAGTGCCTTGGTTTCCCCAAATGTAACAGTTTGGTAGCAGTGTTGTGCCAAACAAGAAACAGATGATGAATAGGAAATACCCCACAAGATTTTTTACAATTAAAATATTTTGTTGTTCCTCTTTATGATGCAGTTGAGATATTTTTCATGGGGACAGAGATGTAAAGAGCATGCTTTGGGCTACTCCACGGTGAGGGTCTCCATCTCTCCGTGGGTCTAGTTAAAGGTCCAATAAATACATGTATGGTGTGTCCCCCAAAAGACTGGCTAATTCTGTAACACAC